ATGAATCAAATATTGTAAAATTGAATTTCAATATTTTCGAATACAATATTTTTTAAATTAAATATCTAAGTTGGTCAAAAATTGGTTGGAATACATGGTCTAAAATGGATCAAAATATATAGTTTCGACCATTTTGATTGATCAAAAAATTTCGACGATTTTATTGGTTAGAATCAAATTTTTGACAATTTTGATTGGTCAAAAACTTTCGACCACTTTATTGGTCATAACCAACATTTTGACCATTTTGATTGATCAAAAACTTTCGACCACTTTGTTGGTGAGAACAAATTTTTGACCATTTTTATTGGTTAAAACGTTTTGACTATTTTCTGACTAAAATCCATTTGCGACCACCGATTTTCGTAGATACGTTTTTGGTCAAATACTAGTAAGAAATAGCTGTTTTTAACCAATAATAAACCAAATTGATAGTCAAAATTAGAGTGTTTTCTTATAGTGGACTCTTAATTCATGCATGCTAGGTGGTTTTAATCCTATACTATATTGTCCAATCAATTCACATATCTATAGAAAAACTATCATAGTAGACAACGTTAAATGAAATCCCAGCATCATACATCCACCAAGCAAAACCTCCACACGCCTTATCCCTTAGCTCTTTGTCACAAATCCCAAAAATACTTTTCTTATCTTTACTTCTTTCCAATATATATGGAAGACTTAAAGTAATAAACCTGTTTAATGGACCTCCATGTTTTCGCTTCTTAGACTGAGCTTTCTCTGTAGACCTACCTTCCATATCTTATTCAACATCATAATCATTAACTTCTATAAGTATTTCAGGTATTATTCGAGCAACTATATCTTCTGTTTTTAAGCATGTAATTCCGTAACTCCACTTGCACATGTTTGGACATGTTTTACATTCTGTCGCATTCCTAAAACCTCCATCAAGTGTTGTTTTAGACGCGACACTCCTCCATGAGTCACTTTATAACATAAATTACACTTCCAAACGTTACTGTTATAATCTACGCTTGTTCTATATTTTTTCCCTGGATCTACTAGAGTTGTTCTTCCAGATTCAACCATTATATTGTTATCGACGCATAAAAAGGAAATAAAACTCTAAGATGGATAAAACATGACCAAGCGT